TTTTTTTTTTTTTTTTACGTCTCTAGTAAATTGATCTCATTATATTGCAAAAAATGTATCGATATTTTTAAAATATTGATATATCGCCTAACTCTAGTATGAAGGAAGCTTGTTGTGGCATGTAGGACCACGGGTCTGAAAGCAATGACATCTTACTAAGACAGCAATAATTTACTAAATGCCAACCAGCACATTTAATAAACAAATTCAACTTCAAATTAAAACCAAAAGATTGGTTGAATTATGTTGGTTGGTTGAGTTGACCAACTGAATGAAAGCCAGCTAGAGTTTAAAGTTTTAACTTTATTTCAGTATTCTGCTTTTTTTTTTGTTATTGCTATTTTTCTCATCAGGTCATTGGTAATTTCAAACACTAGTTAAGTTCTGTAAATTAAAATAATGTAAAAGCATTAAATACTGACCAGAAGACTGTTTAACACCTGATTTCACACTAAATCTGTGCACTTTGTTTGTACTCATGAATTCATATTATTCATAAATCTTTGGTAAGATGAAAAATATTGTTGAAATCATATTAAAGTATGAATAATGATCCAATTGTTAACTTTTATTTAAATAAATACTTTTTCTGTCTACAATGTTTATCTGTTTAATTTGTGCAATTGTTTTTTTAGTTCCACTGTTGAATTAAAAACATCTGGATTTAATTAAACTCAGGGTTTTTGCTTTGTTTTCAAAAGTATGGATTTAGTCCAGATTTAGATTATTATGAATAAAGATTAACATAAAATCGTAAATTTATGAAAACAAGCGAGTGATTTTTCTTGTTGTTATAAAAATAAGGTTAAAACCGTTCATCAGCAGTGGACGCTGTGTGCAGCCTGTCAGTTAATGGTTAGCCCACTTCTAAAGAAAATGCCTATTTTTATGTTAATGGCAACATATGTTTTATAAAAACTTCAGAGTTAATAAAAAAAAACATGATGCTTGTGAGTAAACCGATACTGATAAGACAAAACATCCATGGTTTTATTTTTCTCTTTATGTACAGAAGTCTGATGTAATTCATCGTTTTTATGATGCAGCTCAGAAAAGAGACGCTGGTTATCGTGAAACGTCTGTAAATTCTACATTTGAAGCTTAGAAAATTATGAAATTTGAAAATGGACGTTTTGTTTTAAAGCTGTAAACTGAGAAAATAACAACAACCTGAACAGAGGGGGGGGGTTCACTAATCAACCTGCTGGGATGGTGGGACCCATCAGAAAAAACATGTAACTGAAGAGCTCGCTAAAATCAAAACTGCGTATGATGTCAGAGTCCTCTCTGATTATTGCTGGTGTGGTTCTTAGTCATGCAGCACATGGTAAATCAATAAAATATTAAAAAGCAATACTTCTGAAGTGGAAGATGTTTCAAGTCTAGAGGCTTCATCACTTCAAACCTGATTGTCTTTTAAAAAACAAGATATGTATCTATTTATTTGTTTAATCATGACACTTTTAATTGTTGTTTTTTTATATCCTTATTCTTCATCGTCACTGTCTTTTACTATAAAGTGCAGCACTTTGTTTTTTTTAATTTATTTTAAGTTAAGTGCAGGAATAATTAAATAATTTTTTGTGTGGTCGCTGCCGATCTTCAGTAAATTAGATTTTGCTCACACTATGAAAAACCATAATTATGAATAAATTAATTTAGCATTTTTCAGGAATTAAATGGAGAAATTGGATTTTTCTTGAACATTTTTTCATAGGATGTTATTCAGGTGTGAAGTGCAATTAAAAGTCTTGCGTGCGTTTTAGGAGAACTACACAAGTTAATTAAATTTGACTTTTATATGCCGTACACTCAGTGGTTTACCTTCTTTTATTTCGAAGTGACACAATGAGGTCAGCAGGGGTCACCGTATGAGCATGTACAGGAACGGGTCTCGCAAGGTTGTGATTTACCTGATGATGGACATCCATCCATTATCTTTTACCCGCTTCTTTCATTTTGGGTCACGGGGGGTCACCGGTGCCCATGTCCAGCAATCACTGTGCGAGGGGCGGGGGACACCCTGGACAGGTCTCCAGTCCATCACAGGGACACACAGAGACAAACGGGACAACCATTCAGTCTCTCACTCACACCTGGGGACAATTCAGAGTTACCATCAGTCTAACATGCATGTTTTTGGTCTGGGGGAGGAAACCGGAGCACCCAGAGAAAACCCACGCATGCACGGAGAGAACATGCAAACTCCACCCAGAAAGGTCCCTGGACAGGGATTTGAACCAGGGACCTGCTCGCTGAGAGGCAGCAGCTCTACCAGTTACGCCACCGTGCTGCCGTTCCAAAACCAGAGCAGACATTTTTTATGAATGTTAAAAGATGTGGAGGATTATTAAACAAGAATCTTTATTAATCTGATCTGAATAAACTGTGGCATCAGAAAACGAGAGGCTTGTGCCACAGGCCAAACCAGTGAGGTTTAACATCTTAAATGGTATTTATTGAATATAATGTTCTGTGATGGACTGGAGACCTGTCCAGGGTGTACCCCGCCCCTCGCACAGTGACTGCTGGACATGGGCACCGGTGACCCCCGTGACCTAAAATGGAAGAAGCGGGTAAAAGATGATGGATGGATGGATGGATGGATGATGCGTTTAATGTTTTTGCTGCTGCCAACCCTTAATTTGCACCACGAGCTTTACTGGTGAAGATTCTGTCATCAGATCACGATCAATCCAAGAAAAGTTGAATAAACAAAAGAACTGGACTTTTATTCTGAAGCCGTACTGTCTTCAGCTTCAGAGTGGAAGTACAGCTGTATAGGTTTTTACATATTTTTGGATTTTACAAGTGTAATACAGGTTACAGTTACATTATTATCAGTCACATTATTGATCTTTAGGATCTAAAACCAGAAAATGGTCATAATCTAAAATGGTCTCAATAAAAAATGCTTTCTTTTCAGAGCAGTAACTCGACACTTAAAAATAAAACTGGGAATAAAATGTAAAATATCTGAATGATTTAGCAGATAACAGGTTTGGTTTTATCTTCTGATCCAGCAGAGGATGCTCTAAGATCAGTTTTAAGTGGTTTACAACAGTAAGGCTTCATTTAGACCTTTTAGGAGTTCTTAGGACTCAGCTCCTGATCAGTCCTCAGTAAAGATGAGCAGCCTCCTCATCCTCCAACCTCCAAGAGTTCAGCTCCAGCAGGAACTTCACCTGAATCATCAGCAGCGAGAAAAAAAGATTCATGCTGCAAAGTCATCAAAACTAATTTTAACATACAGGTGCAGCTCAAACTATTAGAATACTGTGAAAAAGTTCAATTTGTTATTTCACGAAGAGGAACTCATTTATTAAATAGATCCATCACAGTGGAATATTTCAAACTTTTATTTCTTGTAATGTTGATGATTATAACTTGAAAATAATGAAAAACCTAAAATTAGTGTTTCAGAAAATTAGAATCTTCCACAGCCAGCTGTTGGTATCGTCAGTGTGGGTCAGTGTCGAGTCCTGCTGGAACATGAAACATCTCCATGAACTGAAGGAAGCATGAAGTCTCTAAAATGTCCTGCTAGGTGCTGCGTGG